AAGAACTTCCTCCGCAGAGCCTTACGAATTTTTAGTAAAATTGTAATATTAAGGGGGGGGGGGACAAATTACGCAAGGTATGATGGGAAGACGGAATTTTGTCAACCATCGATCTCACCCCCCCGTCGCGCACCACTAAATATCCTCTACTATCCCTACAAATCCTATATAATTCAGACTCTGCGGAGGAGAGTGGTACCGAGGACAAGTTCAAGACTTTCTGGATTGCCACTGTTGAAACATGTGAAGAGCTCAACATTGAAACTCCGATGGAGACGCGTCAAAGGAAGATACCGGTACGACTGGACGACCATCCTGAGACAGCTGTGCGGCTTGAACCTAAAGATACATTTAGAGTTGGGTTCTACTTTTCAGTAAGTATTTGTGCGAAACATTTAATTTTATCTCTCCCACACTGTTCGAAACTTTCTATCAGATCAGTATTAAATTGCAGATATCTTTAACTATACTACTGTTTTCACAGGTTCTTGATCTCATGATCAATTCAATCGAGACGAGGTACGATGCAGAAAACCGATCCATCTTACGGGGATTTGGATAACTTCATCCCAAACGCATGCATCACGACGCCTGATTCTTTCGAGCATGTCAAACACGCCGCCGATTGGTTCGCAGATGACATCAACGCTGATGCTCTTGAACTGGAGATGAAATTAATTCGTTCCTCGAAGATGATCAAAGATATCCTGGCCAAGGAAACGAAAGAACGAAAGCCGTCTTTGGTTGATTTATACCGCGAACTTCTTCAAGAACCCGAATGCTTCCCCAATTTGTCAAAAATTATTAAGATTGCCCTTACTCTCCCTTTGACATCAGCATCTGCTGAGAGATCATTTTCGAAGCTGAAAATAATAAAAAATCGCCTGAGGTCGACGATGAGGCAAGATCGACTAGAATCGCTGATGCTCATGTCCGTGGAATCTGACATTTGTCGGGGCCTCGACATCGAAGGACTCGTTGAACGATTTACCAACGCAGCTCCCCGAAGATGGAACTTGTACTAAATATGTATTATAACATTAAATTCTTCATTTCATTCTTGGTTTTATTAAAAATACATTTGATTCATATATTGTATGGAAATCATTTATGTTCCGATCTACTAAAAAAGTGATTTATTAAAACCTTTATGTTTCTCTTAAAGTGCCTCCAAAATGCAGGAAATGCGGTTTTAGACACCCAAAATTCAAAATTTTCTCGGGGGGGGGCATACCCCTGAACCCCCTAGCAGCCTCGTGCCTTCGGCACTCGGATTTGCCCCCCCCCGGCACCACTGGTTTCAGTATGTTAGGCCTGTTTCAAACGTCGCATTTCGCATGTGTCGAATTCAATTGCTTGAATTATGTGCATGCAAAATTCGACGTCTGAAACGATTACATGCGACGTTTTTAATTGCGGTCGACCTTAACTTTAAATTCGACCCGACCGGTCGCATAATGCGAGCTAAGTGCGAGCTAAATGCGACCTCTTTCAGACGTCGCATTTTGCATGTGTCGAATTCAATTCTGCTAGGGTGGGGCTCGTGGAAATAGTCTGGAACGAGGTAAAAGAAGGACGGCATGTACAGTTAATGGATCAAATTTCGCGTGTAGGACATAGAATGGTAATAATTTCATGTTTTTTTTTGTGTGTTTGTGTGAAAAATAGTCAATAGCCTGATGTCAGTTTATATACAAGCGAAAATAAAGTCGCGAACAAGAACATTTATACGGGACTACATAGTATTTTTTCGTGCTTTAAATATGACGAGCGACGGCTTATTTCGCTGGTATAGTCGTATAAATGGCCCTACTGACATAGATAGATAGATAGATAGTGTATTTAAAATTCACCTTGCAGCTGGACAGCTGAATTGCGTGATTTACAAGAGTATATAAAACATTATTTAAAAGATAGAATATGGATTAATTAGGCATATTTACAAATGGTCATTAAAACGCTTAGTACTAAAAATTACATTAACTTAAGTTACTAGACATAGGAATAAAAGTTTTTTTAAATCTTTCTGTATTAGTTTCGAATCGTTCAAACAGTCTATTGTTCCTAAGTTGGTAAACCGACTCATGTTTGGGAGGCAGCAAATTATGCAGTTTGTGTGTCGGATTGTTAGTAATATTTGTGAAAAGTTTGTTACACATTTCTTCGCGTCTTTGGAACAAAGTTTGAAGATTAAAATATTCTAAAGTTTCGCTATATGAGTTCGCGGGTAAAATGATCTTCAGTGCTCGCTTTTGTACCGTCTCAAGATCTTCTGACATGGAAGGATGGGATTGAGTAATGGAAAACCGGGGCACAATATTCAAAAATGGGCCTGATAACTGTACAGTAGAAGTTTACAATGTCTTTCGGACTGATTTTTGCGCGCTTAAGTAAGATAATGAAGTAAAGACGTTTGTTAGCTTTTTTGATGACTTCGTTAATGTGATTAGTCCATTTAAGGTTACTAGAGATGGTGAGGCCTAGAATTTTAGCGTTTTGGACAACCGGCAATTTCTTCCCGTAGACTGTAAGAGGGTCGAAGTTCTGTTTCGTGGATTTAAAGTCGATTTGGAGTTCTTTACATTTATCTGCGTTAAGAAGTAATCTGTTGGAATTCGACCAGTTTTCTACTGTGGTAACTGCGTCTTGGGCTTTGCTGGTATCGCCTTTTTTAACAACCTCAGAAATGGTTGTATCATCGACATACTTCCAAGTAGATACTTCAGTGATTTTAAGATCATTGATCATCCATAGAAAAAGCCATGGCCCAAGTTTCGTACCTTGAGGGACACCAGCCGGGACAGCACCCCACTCTGAAACGCAGTCGGTTGCGAGTTTAACTCTTTGTTTTCTGTCCAATAGAAAATCAATAGTCCAGCGTACGACTGCCTTCGGAATTGGTAATCTGGAGATCTTATCAGCGAGTATACAATGGTCAATAAGGTCAAACGCTTTTTTATAGTCGAACAGGGCTACTCTGACTGCTGCGCCAGTGCCATCAGTTGATTGGGACCAATTGTGGATCATTGATATTGCTGCCATAGATGTAGAGGATTTTGGTATCACTCCAAATTGGTTGGGGTCGATTTGACACAGAATAGCTGGCCCAATGTATTTAGAAACAACGAATTCTTCTGCTACTTTAGAAAGGGCTGGGGTGAGGGATATTGGTCTTAAATGTTTACAAATTTCGGTTACCGGTTTCGTTTTTATGATTGGAACAACATCAGCTGCTTTCCACGAGGCAGGGAGTCGTTGTTCATTAAAACTGCTATTGAGAATCGAACTGACAGGCTGGGCGAGGACTTCTGCGTATTCGTTTAACACCCAATTCGGAACACCGTCTGGGCCTGAGGCTTTTCTGGGGTTAAGGGACGCAAGCCCTTTATACACATCAAATTCATCGAGATGGAGGACAGAGTCGTTTGGATCGTAGGAGGGAAGAGAAGTAAGAGGTTGGTAAGTTTTCATGGGGTCTAGGAAGGCTGTGTTTATGAGATTTGCAATCTCATTTGGAGACTTCCGGTCAAAATCGTCAATGTGAATTTGGTTATATAGATCTTCCGCTCCCGTTGAGGGGGTCATACCAGCAATCTGTTTTACTTCTTTCCACCAACGACTTGGTTTTGACTTTTTTAGATGTTCAACCTTCAACGAATAAAACTTTTCACGGCATTTTTTCTTTCGCGATTAACTCGGTTGCGGTAATACCTAAACAGTTCGTTATTGCCGTTAGAAAATGCTGCTTGGCGTTTTTTTATAAGAATCTTAAAATTAGCTGTGATCCAAGGGGGATCATTCACATGTAGTGTTATTCTTCTTTTGGGCATTAGGATATTGATACCCAGGTTAATAAGATCAGTGAAAAGCTCAAGTTTTTCTTCACAGGTTTCGAGATGATTTAGGATGGACCAATTACAGGAGGTTAGGTATCTTCCGAGTTCGCTCTTTTTACTGGGACGCATGTCTCTACTTATGACGACCTTTCGACTACCTGATTTATCACGTCTGTTTTTAGGGTTTAGAATGACCACATTGTGATCTGAGAGGCCAAAGGGAGGATGTTTCTCTACAGAGTCTTTAGCGTAAAACGAGTATAAGTTAGTAATAATTAGATCAAGAGTCTTGTCAGCTCTGGTAGAAACATTGACCATTTGTTTGCATTGAAACTGGTTCAGTAGACGGTTAACTTTCAATTGGTTGAAGTCTCCTGATAACATTAGACCACAGCCTGGATAAT